TTCCGTTACGTATACCTTACATTTTTCGCTAATTAATACACTACCTGCTAATAATAATTAGCACTAAGACTCTATAATTATAACTAATTTAATATAATTAGTACTAATCTAACTAGATTACTACTAATTTAATAATAACCTTACTAATTTACTATATTACCTAAGTATATATATATATTTATTTAGTAGTAAATAGAACTTAGCTTAATAGCTATTAATAATACTTCTTTACTTTAATAAGCCTTACTTATACTATTAACTATTAAGAAATATAACTTAAAACTAATATACTTAGTATAACGCTCTACGCAATCTGTAAACATAAACCTAGTATAGACTAGTTTCCCTGTTTAAAACCCAAACCGTCACACTGGAATAACTATAACCTGCTATTTAGGAAGGCTATAATTATTACGCTTTATATTAACCTTAATACTATAAAATAATTTATTTTTTAAAATGTATTAAACTAAGCTATTTAAAGTAATATTTTAGCTAATACTATAAATAACCCTAGCTAAACCGTCACACTGGAATAACTATAACCTGCTATTTAGGAAGGCTATAATTATTACGCATTATCTAGGCAGACTTTATAAGAAATACATCAGTCCTACTAGCTAAATAATATAATCTTCTCTAGGCTCTTAGACTATAGCTAGGGGCTATTAGCTAAATACAGTTAACTAGAGATAGAAGGTAATAATTATAAATACCTATACCTAGGTTATAAGAGTACTCCGGGATGCTTAGGTAGGTTATTAAAGCCAAAGCTAAGCACCCCTGAGCTACGCCTAAGGCAAGCCTAAGCTCCTAACTATAAAGCAGCGATGATTTATCGTTAATATTCTCCTTTTAAAACGTTTCATCGACTATCGCGGACAAACCAGGTTGTTCAGTATCGGCCAATGGAAAGAATTCCCCGGCCGCTCGCCACTCAATTCTTCAGCTTCCCGTTTCCTGTGCCGGTAACAAAAGTCACTGGTAAAGCGATAGACGACTGTGAGTTGATGCCCATTGAGATTGGCGCGTTGTGCTGACAATCTAGTCTTCAACGTGACAGTCGGACACGTCTACCCAGTTCAGCTGGGCTTTTCTATTGAGAAGGACAAAGTCAAATGGCTCGAGATCATGTTCAACGATAAAGCATGCAAGTAATACGCCCTACAAACACTACACTAGCTAACGATCCAAAGCTTACGATTGCTCCCTGGCTCTCATCCAAGCGTCAAACGAGATATATCGAGGCACAGGCTACAACTGCACCAACTCGCTGAGCTGTATATCTCAGACTCTCGATCAGCTCAAGGTCAGATTGAATAGCCAAGAAGCGCTATCGGATCATACCATGTCGATCATCATGGCTCTTATCAATCAAGAACAGGCAGCAGAACATTACGCGGTTGCTGAGACGCATATGGCGGGTTTAAAGAAGATAGTGGACCTTCGTGGTGGGCTGGAGAATATCGAAGATGCTGTCGTTGCTGTCAAGATGTGTCGGTGACTTGATGTTTCGTCAGCTTTATATGGCAAGTTGCTGATGTATACAGGACTGATATTCTCTTCGCCATGCAACAAGACGGACGCCCGTTGTTTCATCGAGATCATATATGTCACATAAAACTCAATTTGGCACACAAGGGATTCACTTTACAGCAAGACTCGGCTGCATACCACAGCAGACTTGACCCAATTCTACAAGAAGCATTATCCGACGCCATGGGGTTGTGCAGACTGCTCAACAAACACCAGGATGAGAAGCCTCTCGATCTCCTTGAATTTCAAGAAGTCTTAGTATCCGTCTGCTATCGACTGCTAGAATTTCGTACAATTAACGAAGCTAGGCTCAGGCAGGATACTCAGTCTACTTACCATATCGGGTTATCCCTATTTATGATGTCGATCTACTTTAACAATAAGCAGGATCGCATGGCTCGGCCGGGACTTATCAAGACTCTTGTGGAGGAAGCCATGGATTCCAACTCGAACGAGAGTGAGGATGAGTTCAAGTTCTGGCTTCTTATCTTGGGAGGAATTTCAGTTCCAGCTAGGGATGGTCGTGGGTGGTTTGTTGAGACAGTTCGAGAGCAAGCTTCATTACTTGGCATCATGACTTGGGTACAGGTCAAGGAATGTTTAGCGAGGTTTCCGTGGATGGATGCTATCCATGACGAACCAAGTCGGAAGTTATGGGACCTAGTCCGCTTGGTAGACGAGTAATCACTTCATGGAGTTAAAGGTCGTATGAAAGAAACCCGCCGTTAACTCCGTTCAAGTTTCACTGGGGAAGACAATCAGCCGATGAGGTTTCTGAGATATGGTGAGGACCTTCTAACCAGATATGGTAGCAAGTCTCTCATTGGCTCAGGCCAGGCTACAGTGGCGCCAAGGTCTCCAATTGACATCTAAATGGTTACCGAATCGGGTAGCAAGTCTTGTATTGGATGATTTGAGAACAAGGCTTCAATTTTTTGCGAATATCCAGACTTTCAACCGAGGGTTCTTTGAGTATAAGTAGAGAGGATTGTCGCTCTGGGATAGTACAGACTTCATCCATCTTTACACATCCGCAGTATACTTAGATTATTCCTTTAATTACTAGACACCTTCTCATCTATCATCATGGCATCAACCACACACACAGACTTTGGAGCTAACACCGAAGCCATCGAAGTTGCCAAAGCCTTTTCTAACAGTATCCGTGGCAAAACAGTCCTCATCACTGGAGTCAACCGTGGAGGTATTGGCTTTGCAACCGCGCAGGGCTTTGTAAGTCCCCCGTCCTAGATCAACTCACATGCTCACCATTTCAAGTCCACTCAGTCTCCGGCCCATGTCATCCTCGCCGGCCGCAGTCCTTCCAAGGCAAAGGAGAGCATCGATGAACTCAAGGCCAAGTTCCCAGATGTCGACTACCGATTCTTGGAGGTCGACCTCTCTAGTCAGGAATCCGTCCGCAACGCAGGCAAAGAAGTCCTTTCTTGGTCTGACATTCCTGCTATTGATTTTATCATTAACAGCGCTGGCGTCATGGCTGTTCAAGAGCGTACTCTAACCAAGGATGGCATTGAAATGCATCTCGCAACCAACCATATCGGTCACTGGCTCCTCGGCTGCCTCCTAATGCCCAAGCTCATCAAAGCTACCGAAAACAAACCAAAGGGTTCTGTTCGTATCGTCAATGTCACTTCTGCCTCTCCCATGGGATCAAATATGCGCTGGAGCGACATGAATTTTGACAAAAAGAACAAAGACCTTCCCCAGGAGGAGCAGCCAAACTACGAGCTACTTAAACTCTGGGGATATGAAAACAGCGAAGAAGCTGCCTATGTTCCCCTCGATGGGTATAATCGCAGCAAAGTCGCCAACGTCCTTTTCGGCATCGAGGCTAATAAGCGTCTTTTCGAAAAGCACGGCATCCTTACTCTTGCTGCTCACCCTGGCGTCATCATGACGACTGAATTAGGGAGAGATTTTCCCAAAGAGACGTTGGAGGCTGCTGAGAAGCTGGGCTCGATGGGGTTCTATACTCGCAAGTCGGTGGACGCTGGGGCTTCGACTAGTCTTGTTGCTGCGTTGGATCCGAAGCTTGCGAATGGTGTTGGAGAGACTTATGAAGGGAGTGAGAATTACGGAGCGTATCTCGCTGATTGTCAGATCAGTACTGGAGCGAAGCCTCTGGCTGTTTCTAGCAGTGAGGCTAAGAAACTGTGGAATTTCTCTGAGGAGGTAACTGGACAGAAGTTTTCGTGGTAGATATTTTGGGAGTCTACCATTTCTTCGGTCAATTGAGGTTTGAAGGACTTATCGATTATTCCAGTGATTTCTTGGATTTTAATCCTACTAATCTTGAGGTAGTATGGCTATTTATGGGCAGAAGGCAGATTAGCCCCCGCTGACAAATAAGGGCTGAGAGATCGAGTTTACAACTGGGTGTAGTCTCAAGCTACGCGTTTAGGTCCAAACTTAGTGTAGTCTTTTTGAATTTATAAGTGGTGTTTGGCAGGCTTTTGTGTCTCATTTTGATCAGCCTAAATCTAATACTCAAATCTGGGTAGAAAACTAGAACAGGTCATTTCTCTTTCGTGCTATTGTTGTTGCTTTGGGTAAATGAATACAAGAACTCACTGTAGACTGTCATCACATGCCTCACCCTTCAATAGAGCAAGAGTTCTCTGGGAGTCTCATGCAGCTCCAGGGTATGCAAGATCATCTCTACTTTGTTGGGTTAGCCCCTCACCCTCTCCATCCAACGATCACTCCCTTTTGGCCGGTTAAATTCCCCAAAGCGACAAAACATACATATAACCCAGGCCAGCTCAGATACCCGATAAACCCAATCTATGCTTAAACCACCCGTCAACTGTCAAGATCAAGTTCCTGATAATCATACACAACGTCCAGCCAATCACGCCCACAATTCCTCCCCAACAGACCTGGCAAACCCCTGCGCCGCTAGGACTCAACAGGGAATAATCCGGTGCTCATCTCGGCGCTTTACCCCGCGTTTCGCCCCCCATCGCAGCCAAACTCGCACACCCAAAGGCAGAGAAATTCAACGCTCTTCTACTCTCTACACGTGCGTGTATGTAATGTACACCTGACATAGGTAGTTACCTTACCTTACCTTACCTCCCTCCTAGTGTCAACCCTGACACTCTCGCCTTCAGTGCCAAGTCAACGAACGACACGGGGGTCACCTATTCGTAACCACGTTTCAAGTCTATTTAACTGGTCGACGTCGGACGCGTCTCCCCTTTTTTTCTTTTCTTCACGGTTGAGCTTTTCCTTCACTCAAAGCCATCGCCAGAAACCCTCGTTCAAAACAGTGGATATCCCCTTTCGAATATTGACAGCCAGACTATATAGCTTTTTGACCACCTCCCTATTTCAGCCACCTCACACTCATCTCTCATGTCCGCGTCTCCACCCAGCGGCTCGTCCAAGCGACGGGTGCGCACAGAGGCTCAGATGAGCCAGAAGCGACTGGCAGATCGCGTCAAGCACAGGGAGAACCGACAGGAGCACAAGCAGCGTATGGAGCGCATGGAAGCAGACATTGCACAGATCAGAAAGAACCTCGACACCGTTTCCGCCCAGCTCCGGACGCTCCCGCAGTTGAGCGCTGATCTCGTGGCTCTGCAGCAGAGATCTTCGCAGAAACCCCCTGGCGAGGCTTATGAGATGGACACGAGCATTGACACCCCGGACTTCCCCGCAGGGCGACGAGCTGCGCCGGCGGGTGCTCCATGTGCTGTTGCGGCGGACCACCACGACATCCCGCCTGCCGAGGTCCCGGAGGTAGTGTCTAGTTTATTCCCCACGCCGTCGCACGTCGATTGCCGATGCGGAGTGCAGCACCACTCGCAGGCCGATTGTCTCGAGTATCGGAGTTTCGCCATCCTCTACGAGACCCATGCTGCTTTTCCCAAGGATCCGCTCCACGCTAGGTCCCTGCCGAGGAACCCTGAGCTGCCCAACATGACGCTTCACTCTTACGGGGATAATGCAGTCACATGTTTTCTGACCTCGTTTCTCAAGGGTTTTGAGATGGCTAGTGTGGAGACTTTGTTCGGGGTGTATTTCTTTGCCTATCGTCTCATGAGAGTGAGTTCATCTTTTCCTCATTGTCTCCTGCATACTAATCCTTCGTGTAGTGGCGCTTACATCCTGATCCTATGACTCTCAAGGATGTTCCGCCGTGGCTGCTTCCTACCGAGGTTCAGAATACATATCCTCATCCTGTGAGCATCGATTACATCCCTTGGCCCGACTTGCGAGATTTCCTCTGTACGAATCCACGTATCAAGTCAAGGCATTCCGTCAAGATATACCTTGAGTCTCTTCAACTGAAATGGCCGCCTGGATGTCCTTTGATGGCTGTTCAAGGTGGCCATGTCTGCGTAAGCCCCGAGTTTGAGGCCATTGCATGTGATCTCAATAATTGGGAGCTAGGGCCACCTTGGTTGGAGGCTTTTCCTCGTTTGGTTTCACTGGTGCATCCTTGAGTCTTGTCAATGTTTCTTGGCCTGTGTGTTGGAAAGATGAGAGCATTTAGGAAGGGTAATTGTTGTTTTGTAAGAGATACCATAGTCTACTCCGTACATAAAAATGAATCACAATTCCCCATTGTTCCACGCCCCAAGGGGCAGGAAAATGTAGGACCTCTAGTATCTGACAATAACACTGAGCCAAGCCCATTTCAACTCAGAAGAGTTGTGTGTTGGCCATTTTTCCACCAACGGTGAATGTCTTAAACCTTTTTGCCTCCCCTGACCATTTTGCCTTATGGCTGATCTTCCCTCAAGAGCACACTACTTTTCACCACATCGCTTGCGTGTCGCTTCCATCAGTGTTTCCAATGCAAGTCGATCAGCTGGCTCAGTACGCTCGTATAAACCCACTGGTGTTCCTGGCATGTTTTTAATTTCGAAATAGTTCCTTTCTGTCGACCGCGGACACTCATCGGCAGGCATGTACAACACCCACCCCCAACTTCCGTTGTCAAACGTGTAGTACCGATTATGTAGATCGTCGTTATGGGGAAGTGGAAGGCCTTCGAAATAATTTTGCCAGCTGGAACATCTGAAATTGAAGTTTTCTAGGAGTGGTAGATTTTGGCGGATACGATCAAACATGTCTGACCATCGGAGATCATTCATGTACCAGCCAGGTTCAAGCGGTTCCAGATGTGGATGACTCATGTGACTATAGTTTGCCTCGTCCATGTTGGTGGAGACGTCTGGTAGTTTCTTCCACCCATCGAGGTTAACATCCCAGTCTTCGAAATCGGGCTGTTGCACAAGACAGTGCGTCACGATCTTGCAGCTGTAAAGGTTCAAATTGATAAGAGTACGTTGTTCAAGAATCCAGTCAAACTGATCTTGTCGAAGAATGATGTATTGCTCCAGCGTCAAGCTCTCCAAGCATGGGAATGACAGACCTTGACCATTAAACTCAGCGGGGATAGAACCCCAACAGAGGCCGGCGATCGTGAGCTCGACCAGGTGCTCAGAAACCGAAGGCAAGAGGGTACTTGAGAGATATGAGGCAAATTCAGATTTCTCGATTTCACCGTTATAATAGACCACGCGAATGTGTAGCTTGTCGATGTTGTGTAACAGATTGTCTTTGAGATCCTTGAGTAACGGCATATCCTCAAGGTAGTTCAGTACCAACTCACGGATAATGCTTGCGTCGGGACGGGACTCGCGATCCCTCAATGTCTTGGAAATGACTCCAAGAGTCTTCATGCGTATAGATGAAGGCTCATACCAAGTTCCTGGGAGCATTTCATCATGGCAAAAGGGCGAGAAACGCACTTCGAGACAATCGAGGTTTGGCATATCGCAGATGCGGCTTACAGCGGAGTCGAATTCAGGCCAATGGCCACCCCTGAACCAAGAATCTGGATAAAATGAAATCCTGTGAGAGCCTCCTTCACGGTCGATTGGTGCGGTCTCGATAGCGACGTGTCGCACAGCAGTTCTGATATAGTCTGTTTCTAAAAGTTGATGCCAGGAGCCAAAGTCATTTTTAATCGTGTGTTCACTCTGCTAGAGCGTGACTGTCCGGAAGAGCTGTTCGGTTGCTACATCATTCCATCGGTGACAGACGAGGCGAACGTCCAAGGCGTGTTCGATCGTGTCATCGTGCAGACGATGCTTTTCTTTTTCAGTAAGAAGGTAGCTGAAGATATGGCTCAGGACCTCGTTGGGGAAGCGATCCATCGCTAGTGGTATTTCTGATGATGTAGATGGGATGCTGTAGTGCGATGGCAATAAGAGTGAGGAAGTTTTGGACAGGATTAAGAGCGAGTTCGCTCGAGGCAGTGGCAGTGGCAGTCTGTGAGACAGACCCACTTATATCTTGTACAACCATGAATCAGTGACACAATTATAGGTACCTAGATGCCTTGCCTGTACTGGGCAGTAGAGCAAATATTTGTGATTTTAAATTTAATCATTACTGATTGTTAGGGATGTCGAAGTTTCCATAAGCTCTGCTGAACAATCCAAGCAGCTTCGTCGTCAGGTCAGTAGATACAGGTCTGCATAATCCTGCAATTAACTCTAGTAGGTCCCTTACGGTTGACGTGGGACGAAAAGTGGATATGGGCATGCCTAGAAGACTAATAGGCATTTGCCGGCTTTCTTAAATGGTAGATGGGTATGCATAGGTAGCAAAGATATTATGCATCCGAGAAATTTAATATGTATCCAGGAGATCCTGAGACCAGCATTCTTGGTGTCATCAGGCCTGGATTTCGAGCTTCCCTATGCTCTGTAGATGATCCACGCCCACGAACACATTATCGTTCTTTCGCGTCATGTGATTGACTAAATGCTATCACTGTAAGGAGATGATGTATTTTACCTTTCGGGGCAACTCTTCTATGGCGCGGTTATAGAATTGCGGGATCAGAGTTGTATTGCGTGGTAGTTATAGTGCAGCGGATGCAACGGGAAGAAACTCAATTGAACAGACTTATCTGATTGCATTTGCCTGATCCTATGCGTTGTGCAGATGATTTGCTTACGAGACTCCGCAGTATTCATAAATTCTTCGTAGCTGGGATCTTGTATTTATGATTCCAGTGACTGTTGGATGGTTGTTATCGTCTGGGGCAATTACAGACGAGAGCAGTGGAAGTGGATCGCGGGATAGTGGACAGTGAGAGTCCAGCCAAGTCCTCCCTGTTGATTCAAGCTCTCAGCCACAAGTCGCAACTACACATAACGAGAGTCCAGCGATCTCTCAAGATCACGATATTGGCATTTCAACAATAAGAGGAACAAAGGCCTTTATGGCTTATGTTGACATTAATATCTGTAAGTAGAAGGGGCTTACCAACCTCGACGGCCTCTTTCTCGGCATCCGACGTCAGAGCTACCCGATCCTAAGCACTTAAACCCCCACATCCCGAATCAACAGAATATCAGTCATTAATTACAAACCTCCTGTTTCTCACTGCTAAGTCAGGATGCACGCGACATGCTTCGGGATTAGATCCACAGTTGATCAGGATCTTCTTGATCGACATGAAATCTGGGGAAGCAATGTGGAGAGAAGTCGGCACTCGCTGACACCAAGTCCCGATAAACCATACAAAAATATATCGGCACTCGTGTTTATTCTCGGCCTTTCGCCAGTACAGAGCACCGAGGCCCCGACTTAGCTGGACTAATACGAACTCGGCAGCACACCTCTCGTTTCGAGATCTGAATCTGCTTACAGATAACCTCGTAATATTCCTCCACATGGTGTTCCGACGCTTTGCCAAGACTAATGCAACCCTAGATACGGTTTGGTGATAATCAGTCTTTGAACTGCCAGGTTGGCTATGATCTTTACAGCTACAGCTTGATCCGTAGCGAAAATGAGGAGTGTAATTAAGTGGTTGTGCTGGATATAAAAGGAAAGGGGTGAATTGGTGGAAAGGAACTAGCTATTCTGTAGGCTCAATCATAAATCAACATGTCTCAATCACTTCTTTCACAGCTTTGGAAACAACTACAGCCATCAAGACATAATAAGAGACACTCGACGCAGACTACACAGAGTACGATAATTCTTTTGCAGAATGGCTTAGTCCTTCAACATGACGAGCACGATTCCATCCAAGTCGTTGAAAACACCGATATTCTGATAGTAGACGGTGTTATCAAGAAAATCGGAACATCTGTCAATCCTCCACCTCATGCTGAAGTTGTCGACTGCACCAACAAGATCATCAGCCCTGGGTTCATCAATACACATCATCACCTTTGGCAAACGCAGCTCAAGGGTTACGGAACGGATAATTGCTGGTTGGATTACTTTTCAGACGGTCAGTACATGTCTAATTGCCAAAGAGGTAGCTGACTTTTTAGATCTCCTCCAGTCTTTCAATTACACCCCTCAAGATATTTACTGGGGCCAATTGGCAGGTTGTCTTGAAGCCATCGATGCCGGAACGACATTCGTCCTCGATCATTGCCACGGCTGCAAATCTCCCGAACACGGCATGTCTATTGGCCTCTCAGTATTCAATCAAATCTAACATCAAGTAGCTGAGTCCGCTATATCTGCATTTTCCGACTCTGGTATCCGAGGAGTATTCGCATACGGAGAAACGTTTCTGAATCTCCAGAAATGGGACAGCGAATCATGTGTCCCAAATGCCATGTCCATATCTGAGCCATTCATCAAGCATGTCGAGAATTTAGCCCAGAGAGGCCCTTTTGGGAACGGTTGTGTCTATGTTGGTGTTTCATTTGATGGGTATCATATGCCGCAGCAGGAAGTCGAAAAGCTATTCCGTCGAGCGCTCAAAGCTGGCGTAAGGGTTATCACATCGCACAGTGGTAACTTCGGTAAGCCAAATATGACCAACCATGTAGAGAGACCCTGACAAAGTAGGACCCTCTGTACCAAAGGCTCTTGAGAAGTTCTCTCTGTTCCCCGGCCCAGAAGACGACTACACTATTGTCATCTCGCATGGCAACTACATGGATGACGAGGACTTCAACATTCTCAAGAAACACCGCGTCCCACTAGCTTGCACACCAGCTACAGAAGCTCAAGGTTCAATGGGCTGGCATCTCCTATTCGAACCAGGACTCATCACAGCCTTGGGCGCAGATTGTCACTGCCTCACATCCTCTTCTCTTATGCAAGCAGCTCGAACTGCGCTTCTTTTCTCTCGCCTACAAAAGACCCTTGAATATAAAGAAAAAGGCGAAAAGATTGATAAATTTGATCAAACAAGTCATGATGTTTTCAACAAAGCAACTATTGAAGCCGCGAGGGCTGTTGGTATGGAAAATGAGATTGGGTCTATTGCTGTTGGCAAAAGGGCCGATATTCTGATATTCTCCAAAGATCAATCGTTGGCATTTGGTGCGTCGGCCAGGGAGGAGCCAGTCTCTGCGATCGTGACGTACAGTGAGGCTCGCGATATTGAGGCTGTTTTGGTAAACGGTCGCTTCAAGAAGTGGGATGGAAAGATGCTTCTTGTTGCGAAGGATGGAAAGGACATTGGACTTGGTCAGGTCTTGAAAGAGCTTGATCAGAGTCAGAGGGATATCAGGCAGAAGCGAGAGTCATGCAACACCAGCATTCCCAAGGGGTTAGTTTGTGGTATCATTCATCCAGGTCAGGTATAGTGTTATAGTATTTAATTGCAGTTGCATCTGTCCTGTAGACACTTTAGAATGCTTACTTCTGACCCATTGGAAGAAGGTGATTACAATTCGAATGTGAGGACAAAAGCGCAATGTGGTGAGATATGGGACAATAGCTTCAATAAAGCGAATGTGATGCTAGCTAGCCTGCTGTTGAGTATCTGTCATGTTAAAGGAGTGTTGATACTGTCATATCTCCACCACTCAGGCATATGTGCAAATGAGCGTCAAGACCAAGTTGTGTGGAACGACCTAAAGACACCACTGCTCACAAGTCTGCCCATCACCAATACATCGAGACTTGCAGTTATTGCCACACCAACGGCAGCTAGCATGCTCAGAAGCATAGCAACTTCCATCGCCAATGGTGCAACGGCCACCAAGATGAACACACTCTCTGCACCGGATGCCAGCCTCGGTACGGGGCTATCAATTTGAATACCAAGCTCACTTGGTGGAAAGATGAGGAGGACTCACAACTTCACGGACTTCAAGAACCAAACATAATCATTTCTAGGCAAAACAGACCTCGCACTCTCCGAATTGACGTTTTTGAATTCGTCCCAAATTCAAAGAACATGTTCCAAAGGGATCACCGCTCAGCAACCCCGTCGTCCAGCATGCCTACGAAGAGTTACATCCGTACGGGTCGCAGGTAAGCTGAACGGCGACAGGGCTGAGATCCCTGCTAATAGACCTATAACCGGCTCACTCCAGGATTATGCATAACAAAAGGTCCTACACCCGCGATTGGACATGCCATAAACTACATTTGTCAGACATTCCTGTGTCCTTTTGCCTGACCGGACATAGCGTTTGAAGACCGGCACCCGGGCCTCACTTGACTGTCTGCCTGTATTCTTTACTGGAGCGCACTGGTAACCTAATCTTGGTAGCCGTTACTCTTGTTATAAGTGGTGCTGTTGCATTGATGCTCACTCGTAGAAAAAGCCCCGATTCGTTCTGTGGTTAGGATCGGCACTTATTTAGCTCCCGCTGGCCAAGAAGAAATATGCCCGGCCGATCATCTGTCATACGACCTTGTATCTGCCCACATTCTTACTGCAGGGCTCGTCAACGGCCGCTGTATGCAGATCGAGCCACGCCTAAAGGGAGCGAGGGAACTTGAGACCATAATAAAGAATGACTACCAGAATCCATTGCCAAAGAACTTCCCCAAGCCTATGACGATGTACCGAGATCGTTTTATCCCTCAGAGTCAACAGTCTACTTGTCTCCCTAGCATGCATGGACCAGCAATCCATTAGTAAAAGAAATACCGTGGCTGTGCAGTTGGTTGATCATTATAAAGGATGCACAAAAGTTCCCTCTACGTGCTACACTGTTTCACCTTTGACCAACCAATCAGAACTTCCTCAAGTCAACAATGTCCTGCTCGTATCACAGTAATCAGATGTTGTTGGCTGCAGAATATCACATTTAACCGTGAACGCCGACTTCCGTGTGCGACCAACAGTCCTTGGTCAGATTCGGTAACAGCAAAGGAGCATGTCAGAGACAATCTCTCTTGGGCACATTTCGCTCTCAATCTCTCGTGATCTGGTCAATATGGCACTGAAAGCTGTGTTGAGAGCTTTTCTGGTTGTTGGCATTTGCCCCTTGCTCTGGTGGACGTTCCGACCTCTTCCTAGCTCTGATACAGAATTTACAGAGTCGCTACAGTCGATAAACCCTCTAAGCCCAGCCTCCGATCATGGCCAGAAGGCTTCAGAGCTCTACGCCTCCAGGGCTGCTCATGATCTCTGTTCCGTCCACGGCTACTCAGCTTTTGTGCCCACGAGCCCCCCCAGCGAGCGCAAAGTCTACGATATGCTCATGATAAACGACGAACTGGATTTTCTCGAAATACGCCTCGATGTATTATACGACTACGTCGACTACTTTATCATCGTCGAGTCAGCGAAAACATTCCAAGCCAATTCGAAACCCCTTATCCTCAAAGAGAACTGGGACAGATTCCGTCGCTATCACGACAAAATTATCTATCACGAACTAACTTTCCCATCAACCTTCGACCCGCATCGTGCCTGGGACTACGAAGACCTACAGCGAGATGCCCCCTTCGACCAAGTCATGCTCAGTCTCGACGAACCAAGAGCATCCAACAAAAGAGACGTTCTCATCGTAGCCGACGTCGATGAAATACCCCGACCACAAACCCTCCTCCTCCTCCGATACTGCAATTTCCCCCGCCGCCTGACACTCTCCTCCAAATTCTACTACTACTCATTCCAATTTCTCCACACCGGTCCAGAGTGGCAGCACCCTCAAGCAACCTTATACCAAGGACACCGAACCCTCAAGCCCACCAATCTTCGCAATGGAGATGGACGTTTCCGTCCATTTCGCTTCCTCGAGAGGGGCGTGCTGAGTAATTCCGGTTGGCATTGCAGTAGCTGTTTCCCGACGATAGACCAGTTTCTCAACAAGATGGCGAGCTTTTCTCATCGATGGATGAATCGTGAAGAGTACAGAGACAAAGATAAGATCGCAGCTGCTGTGAGAGAAGGCAAGGATCTCTGGGGTAGGGAACAGGATCAGTTTATAAGGATTGAGAATAATCAGGACATGCCTCCACTGGTGCTAAAGAAGCCAAATCGGTTCGGTTACATGATTAGTCGGGATGGGCCGTCAGCAGGCTTTGTAGACTACAATGGAAAATAAAGAGATAATACTTTATTCGGCAAATAATAATTGTCCGCAATACCATTACAAAGGGAGGAAAGAAAACTCAGACCCTTGATCCTAAATGATAAAAAGACTTAGATAACTTGGTGCAAGTTTAGGATATCTTTTTACAAGCTTACCTTAACACGTTATGTCAAGATCGGATGTTTTCTTGCTCCCTGAGACTTTATTGATAAAAACACGGCTACGTACTGTGACTACAAGGCGGGTCAGGCAAGTGCTTCAAGCACCTCAAGTTAACACATGCTTCCATCTGTTCTCGAAACTCAGCCTCGTCCTCTCAGTCGCCTTGAGTCTGGCTGCTTTGGGACTTCCCGCTCTGTCCCTGCTGCCTGATTTCCTTGATTCTCGCCTCATAATCAGGAAGCTGGCATGGTATGTGCAAACCGTCATGGTCACTGAAGGCTTGATCAACCGATGCAGGGTTACCGTAATCCCTGGCCCTATTCCAATACATGATTTCCCTCTGCCGAGGGGGAAAGTCTGTAGCCTCCATGTTCCTTTCCCTGATCAAATAGTCGACCAAGTCCTCTTTCAACGCCGCCTGAGCGAAATCGATGATATATGGCTCTAGGACGCCATTCGCGTTCTTGAACATAACATTGTTGCTATAGTTTTTGAGAACAACGCCGAACTCGTTGATCTGATCCATGGCATTGACGGCTCGTTCAGTTAGGGCCGACCAGTCGCGGTACGCCTGCTCGGATGCAGTAGGGTTCTGCCAGGGTAATTTAAGGTCGTTGAGTTTGTTGCAAGCGGAGTATTGTAGAAGAAGGCCAGGAACGCATAGGAATTCTTCCTCATCCGGGGTTGCCTTCCCTGTACCTGGGTGCACAACGGATAATGGAATTCGCACATTTGCGTAAAGACGCGGTATCTCTCTGCCTTGCATACTATTGAGCTGCTTGTACGCCCTTAACTCAGTTTTGTGGCGATGGTAGAATTCGTACCAGACATGAGCTTCGAATTTGGACATGGTAAAATACTTTACTGCCTGCTGAGGCTCGTATTCGAAGTAATCAACCGCTCCCTGTGTATTGAGGGTGTTTTTCCAGGTGATCTCCATTTCTGGGACAAGTTCGCGCATTTCCCCAGTCCGCACAAATCTCAGAAATGCCTGTTCCGCTGACATCGAAGGGTCTATGAATTTACGAATGCGCCCAGGGCAAGTCCGGTCATAAAGCTTGAGCACTGCTGTTTCGGCGATTCCCTGGTTGTTCTCGAACTGAACGAGCTTCACAAAGGATTTGGTGCTAGGAAAGGCATCCATGATATCGACGGTCATGGTTGTTTTTCCGGATGGGATTCGCTCGTCAAGTCTTTCTACAACATCGAGGGTTATTTGAGAGAGATTAAGGTATGCGTGGACATAACTGTCGGCTCTTGATGGAGAGGGTCTGTCAGCAGGAAGCTTTCGGTCGGTTAGATAACTTACGTAGACTGTTGAGCCATGGCGGAAATGTTTGAAGCACGTAACAGCTAGGTATTTTTAAGCAAGTAGTGGATGGTAGTGATGAATGACCAAGAAGAATTATCGATCGCGGTTCTGATGATGAAGAAGATGATGATGGAGAAGACTTCGACCAAAACAAGAAGTTGAGGTAGGTACCCGAGATTGTTAGTCGTGCTGCTTTGATGAGAAGGAGCAATCTTTGCCATTAGAAGCCACGATGCTGGCAGTGGGATGTAACAAACTTAGGACCTCCATCCTAAGTAATAAAAAACCTTAGTTATATTGAAAGAAATTAAAATAAATTTAATAAATTTTAATAAATCTAGTATAGATCTTAAGGATTTCAGACTAAGTATTCTTCGCACCTTAATTTAATGTCAGGAGCCTTCTCTTTTTTGCAGAGCTGGAAAGATCCTGATGGATCACAGAAGGAAGGCAATACGTCAAACGGATTCACTGGCTTGAGAGGGCAAGAGAACCTCTGATATTGAATGAACTCGCCTCAGGACTGTGAAGTAGAGGACGAACCGAGACAACAGCGGAGTGATATTACAAATGGAGATACATTTTTAGGAAGAGATGCACTTTTATTCTCCCTGTAGCGTAGCACCTAAGGGAATGTCTATCCTAGGTGATAAAAAGCCTTACGTAGATTTAGATAAATTTAATATAATTTAGTGTAGAATCAGAGGATCTTAGACTAAGTATTTTAAATACCTCGGATTAATATCAGAAGTCTTCTTACACGCTGGGGGCCCCGGCTATTTTTACCCAGTAAGCGGTTCCTTAGCACTGAAAGCAACAGATCGTGATAAAGCCAGTACAGTATGGAAACTAACTCTACTTTCTCCTGAGCATTGCCTCCATCCATTATGCGAGAGGACTTTAACTAACAAAACATTCATGCAAAACGATCTAGTCGGAAATTTTCCAGTATAGGATCCGTCTCCCCGATGAGGATCTGCCTGCTCAACAACTTGCCCACAATGGCTCCATTCGTAACGCCAGAATGCATCACAGCAACACTAAGTCCATCTACTCCCGTCTCTCCAAGAATCGGCAGTCCATCGTCCGGCAAAACTCGATGTCCGATAGTGTAGTGACTGAACTCAAGCTCGTCTCCGCCGACAACTGAGCTTTGAAGTTTGGCGAAAAGTTCACGTGCGGTCTTTTCTGGATCGTCGCCTAGGTCACCTCCAGCGTAGCTTGAACCGAAAAGCAGTGCGCCTTCGAGGGTTTGGCGGATGTGTAGTTCGGGAGCGTTTATTACCCCGTTGATTAGCTTCTTAGGGGTGGGCTTTGTGTTGACGAGGAGACCGGCTGTGCTTTTGAGGGGGAGGGGGATATTTTGTGATGCCAGGAGGGGGACGCTTCCTAACCCTGCGGCTACGACGACATGGTCTGCAGGGATGGTTTCGCCGGATGAGAGAGTTACACCGCTAATATGGCCATCGGTTTTGGTGAAGCCTGTGACTTTGGTCTCGAGGACTTTTGCGCCGTTGTCTTTTGCGAGGTTGATCAGTAACTCAGCCGCCTTCTCAGCTTCCAAAGCTCCCTCCTGATCGTAGCCAAGACCCCATTCCGGCAGCTTCGCCTCTTCAATATGAGGTTCCCGCTTCGATAACTCCGTCTTGTCAACTCGAATAACATCATATCCCCAGGCAGTAAGGTTCTTTTGCTCCTCCTCAAGTTCTTCAGGAGATTTATCCCAGCTCGTTGTACCTCCCCAGCGAATCGGCAAGTTGTCAACAGTCTTCTCAATTTCTCTCCAATGCTCAAGAGACCTGAGCCTAAAGTCGTAGTAGAACTTCTTATCTGATGAAGCAGCGTTAAGCCAAGCGAAGGAGTTGGGGGTAGCTACTCCTCCGATATCTTCCGCGATGACGGTCACGTTTGTCTCGGAGGAGAGATGCCAAGCGATGGAGGCACCGACGATACCGCCACCAACGACGACAACATTGGAGTTTGCGACGCTCATATTGGACACTGCAAGCTTCTTGTCCTCATTCTGAGACTCATAATGACCGTCAGACATGTTGAGTTTATATGTCTCCATATCCCGACGTCGTATCAACCCCGCCTTTGCCGGACGTTCTTCTTGAGCCCGAAGTGAAGATATGATGTGCTTCGGCTGTAGGATGATAATGTTGCATAAATTATGGAAATAACTCGGTTATGTAAAGCAACCTTCTTGAAGAGGAAGGGATCGTTATTGAGTTGTTGAAACGTCTGATGACGTGCGTTGCTTTGTGATAGATCTCAAGGTCCATCCGAGCTATTCTGATTGGTTGATCTAGTCGCTGTCTAATCCTCTGTTGAACAGTATAAATGTAATGTAGGGGACAGCGGCTAGAGCGGTTCTGTGCGGCATCGTCCAAGTTACGTAACCCGACGATGCACTTTAAGCAACCCTCAACATCATCCACCAATTATAAAAGACAAACAAACGCCTAATCTGGAAATCTCCTTATTCCAAGACATTGATATCATCTCACATGTCTCGTGACTTGTTTGAGGCCTTTAAACCAAGGAAACCCACGTAATCATTCTGCATGTCTATGATTGGGGTTACACAGTGGTCGTAAATTTATCAATCATGTCTTGTTCTTTTTCAGCTGCGATAGCCAAGACAGCCATTCCATATGCCCGGATAGCAAAATTAAAATATGATAAGATGATATTTCGTTATATATTCCCGAGCTCCTGTTTGTTTTTACTGTTGTTTAGATCGTTTGTATCATCATGGCTTCACCACTCTTTGAAAGGGGCCTTGCTTGGCTTCCATATTTCGTCGTCGCCCTCTTTGCTTGGTTCATTCTCTCTTCTCTTTTCTCTTGGTATCGTCTTCGACATATACCAGGTCCTTTCTTTGGTAAATTTTCATATCTTTGGTTAGCATACATCACCATCACCGGAGCACAGCATAATCACTTGGTCAACCTCAATCGACGCTACGGACCCATTGTCAGAGTCGGTCCAAATGAGGTCTTGGTCGATGACCCAGACTTGGTCCGAAGAGTCTCAAGTACTAAGAATACATACACCAAAGGAAACTGGTATCTCGGCGCCAAATTCAATCCTTATCACGACCCCATGATGCAGATAACAGACCCAGTCCAACACGATCACCTCAAAGCCAAGCTATCTCCCGCTTACAGCGGACGCGACGCTCCCAATCTCGAAGCCGTAGTCAACAGGCAGGTCGGCAGTTTGATTCAGCTAATCAAGGAGAAATACATCTCTAGACAAGGAGATTATCGTCCAATGGAGGGAGCCAGAGTGACACGCCTTTTTACACTCGATGTCATATCGAATCTGTCTCTTGGTAAAGAATTCGGCTATCTCGAGGCCGACTCTCATTTCCACGGGATAGTCAAGGCGCTCAATGAGCATCTGATGGTCATGACGCTCGCAACAGATATTCCATGGCTGAGAAACTTGGTCTTTTCGCCTACGTTTCTGAAGCTATTTGGACCGACTGAGAATGATACAAAGGGGATTGGCCAGTTGATGAAAGTCGCGAATACAGCTGTTCGCGATCGATATGCTCCCGGAGCGGATGAGCAGCATGACATGCTGGTGGGTTATCCTTTCGGTGTACGGAAATCATATGCTAACTTGGCAAAAGGGCTCGTTCAAGAGACATGGTTTGCGACTGGAGGAGTGTCAGACTGAATCTTGTTTCATGTTTTTGGCGGGATCAGAAACTACCGCCACCGTGATACGGGTTATTCTTCTCTACATTGTCTCCTCGCCTCACATATATCAGCGCCTTCGACAAGATATCACGGAGGCGGTCTCTGAAGGTCGAGCTTCGAATCCAATCACAGACATTGAGTCTCGCCAATTACCTTATCTCCAGGTAGGTTCCCCGTTTAACTCCATGTAAATATGCTAACATTGGCTCAAAGGCAGTAATTTACGAAGGTATCCGAATCCGTCCAGTTACAACAGGCATGTTCTTCAAAGACGTCCCTGCTAGCGGAGAAACCATGCACGGAAAGTATTTTCCACCTGGTACATCAATTGGTGTCAATACATCTTCTCTCCTACGATCGGAAGCACTCTTCGGACCTGATCCTCAAGTCTTCAGGCCAGAGAGATATCTTGAAGTCGATAAAGAGACGAGTGCTCAGATGAAGCGGGATGTTGAGATTGTGTTTGGTTATGGGCGGTGGATGTGCGCTGGAAAGCCTATTGCGTTTATGGAGCTGAACAAGGTTATTTTTGAGGTATCTACTCGAATAATTGGTGTAGTTGATTTTACTGACCAGTTTCTAGCTTCTTAGGGTTTTTGATTTTCAGCTCGTTGAGCCTGAAGTGGCGATGAAGTCGGAAAGCTATATGGTGTTCCATGACCAAAGTCTGCTACTGAGGGTTACAGAAACAGATCATGAATAGAGGCAACTTTGGGATCGCAAACTATGTACATCATCGCTATCTTACTCCAGAAGATTTGTACTTGTAGTTTATATTGGCACACTTCACCAATCATCAACTGAAATTTGACCCTACACCATGACAAGGAGAGCGCAATACTATTGTACAAAGTCAACAAACAAGTGCAAGCTATTTCAATTTTGAAATTTGTTAGACATGCCCTCATTTTCACAACGATCAACGACTCTGCAGTTCTGATAACAGGTGAGTAGTTAAGCTTACTACAATCCAGCGGAAGGAATTCTAAAGCCACTTCTCTTCTCCAAGTCCTTGCCCCTTGGACGAAGCTACTCAAGTCTCTGAATCCATCTTGACAAACTTTTGCAGCATCGCATGAATAGCCTTAGGATTCGCTCCGACAAGCTCATGCTTCTTGACCCCATCCTCGAAAACTACAAATGTCGGCATTGTTCGAATGCCCTGATCTTGAGAGACTTCGGACAGATTGTCTACATCTACCGAGCAAAAGAACACATGTTCGTTGTCGTCTGTGCTTGAGAATCTGTTGCAGCGTGTAAATAAGAGCGAACTCCAATGAAGGGGGGCATCTTACCTGTCGACTATGGGTCTGATCACATGGCAGGGGCTGCCCCAGGTAGCCAAAAACTCAACAAAGACCACTGAGCGGTTTTCGAGAGCTTCTTTGAACTCTTCCTCGCCAGAGTCATGTCAGTGAATGGGGGGTTCGTGGGGGAGAAAGGAGTGTTGTACTCACGAGTGAATCTCATGCACGACCATCCTGATCCAAATAATAACCAACAAGACTTTTAATAACAGGAATCTTTGAACAGCTTGTCTGAATCAGCTTCGTGGGATTTGAGAAGATGTATTGAAGGAGGTTATATAGCTTGAAGCCGGCGATTTGTGAAACCTTGTCTTGAGGGACGCGTCATGGTATACCACAATTCATACAGAGCCAGTTGCACTTATATCTGTAACACCTCGGCAGATACTGACTGGCTGCTTTGAGTGCTCAATACGATAGTATAAGGGGCCGCAAAATCACCAGAGTTCTCGGCATTGGATGTTACTGGATCCTGAGAGGTTACAATGACTTTCACAAAGGTTGAAATGAATGTGGAACCATGATTTGTGAAGCACAAGACCTCTATGTCACAGGGTTCAAGCTCTGCACTATCCACAGATGGACAACTACAAAAGTCTAGGCATAAACCTGCCCCTGTCCAGGACCAGAGAGGTAATATTCCCAGTGGATATCTAGCTCTTGTACTCTTGAACAATCCTCTCTAGCTTGGAGGGGTCTGCTCCCACAACCTCGTCAGCCTTTTCGCCATCCTTGAAGACGATAAAGGTAGGCATCGCTCGGATGCCATACTCTTGAGACACATCCTCAGCCTCATCGACGTTGACCTTGATAAAGTAGATGGAGTCAGTTGCTTCTGACATCCTGTTTAAGGAGTAAGTTAAGTTTCATTTATGCACGATGGCGATGGCGGGACTCACTTTTCTACAACAGGGCTGATGAATCGGCATGGCCCGCACCATGGGGCCCAGAAGTCTGCGAGGACGACTGTGTTCTTTTCAAGGGCATCCCTGAACTCGGCGAGGCTGTGCGCTATTTAGTTCGACGTCCTGACATGGAGAGATTATGCTACCAACTTCTTGACTTCGTGGACTGTCATTTTGAGATGGTATTCGATGTTGGTCTCTGTATATGGGAGCTTTAAGGGTCTGAGAACCTGGAGGGTTAGAGGCGTTATATACTACGCCATGTTCCCCTCACGTCAGGACGCGTCATAGTCTGATTGGCTGATCGGGGCTTGCATCGTCGTGCATATTCCGTGTCTCCGTTGCCTTGGATTCAGAGACATTTTCCAAAACTAGACGAATCATTTTCCTGTTCTGGTTATTGTGGCGTCCTTTCGTGGTCAGATTTGCTGAGCAACATCAGCGAGTTCTCCGCATTTTACGGGAGCTGAATTGCTAGAGAGACCAATTGTCATGGCGATTGATTGAATTGTTGAGGCATTTAGCTATGACGTCTTAATTTGGAGCTATTTGCAGCTGATCAGCTTGTGGCGGAAATTCTATCTAACGATCTTAGCGTGGGCCCTACGGAGTCGAGTTGGTGATCAGTCAGCTATTTATTAGTGAGAATTTCTTAAGCTAGTGTTCATTTGGTCGGCAAATTCAATCCATATGAGAGTGATTCCCATTGCCAGTTTGAATAGGTGTCAATTGACTTGGCTATCTTCCGTGTAAGGTCAGACTAGTAGGTCGTATAATTCACAATCTACGTCAGGCGAGTTCTTATCTGGGGTTCGGACTTTTGACTAAACCCCTAGACATATGCGGCTGAGTTGATATGCAGTACCAGCTCTGTAATGCTAAGCTCTTATCTTATCACTGCGCATGCTGTGTCTCATACCCAAAGCATCATCTCATTCGACTCACAAAAAGCTTTGGTATGTCACCTTATTTCAACTCAGGCAAAAATATCAGGCTGACAGAATGTTCTACCATGATTTTGACTATTGATCAAAGAAATTCTTGGAAGCATATACGATTTCGTGTCTGTGGTTGACTAATGAGAAACAAGAGAACCCGCTTACAGTCGGCCGAGCTTGTCCCAATAACATTGTAACGATTTAAGCTCCCCTCTCTCACAACACATCTAAGGAAACTTGCTTCGGCAAGAAGAGTCCGCACCAGTAGCACCAGCACTCTGGCATCTACGTCTCCAGTCACAGTTATCAAAGCTTGAAGCACCACCGCCAAAAGTCTTGACGTTGCACTCCGTATACTGGGTGTTGGCACCGTACTCTCGAGTGTTGGGTTCCGTTCCGCCCTTGAAGTGATCGCAGACGGTCTTGGTGGCGCCGTTGTTGGGAATGCCGTTGCTGTCGTAGCAGTGGCAGCTTTCGTAGCTGGCGCACGCGGAAGCGAATGCTGAGAGGGCGAGGAGACCGAGGATCGAAACCTTCATTTTGATGGAGAAGATTGCTTTCTGAGAGAGTTGGACTTTGTTGACGGCTCTGGGGACTGGCTATGTACCTTGTTTGTAGGGTTTCAAGGCGGTGGCTTATTGATTGTGATGTTGAGAGTTGTGAGTGATGACACTTAACTTGGCGAGACCTTGACAGATATTTATACCCAAATTTACAGCTCCATAATCCCTATACTCCGTGCCTTAACTCGAAAGATCAACGGTCTCATGGTCTCCAGTACTCTCAACAGGCGTAACTACTCCGGCTTGCCAGGACTCCAGAATCTCATGACAAGAATACGAGACACTCCTGATCCTCCAACTTCTCACAGTGATGCCAAGAAACATCGCCAAGACTCAGTTGCCTATAGTCACACATAAATTTACTGGTTTGTCGTCGGTAAATCGGCCTTTAGTTCCTTGGCGAATCAGGGGTTGAACTACGTTATACAACTGCCGAAAACTTTGGCCTCGCCTATTCGTAGAGTGCCCCATATAACTCTCAAAGTTAAATACTAGCGGTCAAAATAAGCTTTTACATATAGTGATATGTGACCGATTACGTGGGTTCTCTCTTGGGGAGTTGGCCGATAATCCGAATAAGATCCCCAGGGGTCATGACTCGCGCTACAGGTCTCTACCACTTATGGGCATGTGTACTCGCTTGCTGTGATTAAAGGACGCGATCCAACCGGACTCATGCCTTCAAGGAAAGCCTACATCGTCTCAGTTGAGAGTGGTTCGGAAACGAATTGAGTAAGTCAACCTCGCCAAGGGTCCGCGTATAATGCCATCATAATGAGGGTAACCAACTCCGTGTTCCCTTTGATCCCATCCTCTACATCGCAATACATCGAAATCTCAAGAAACCTTGAGGAGCTGAACTCGGCAGTTCCTTGATAGGCCCCTTTGTCCTCTTACTTGGGCATTAATGGACAGTCCATGGTCCCGTTTCCGCTTATTCAGAGTGCCTCCGCTGACCACGTTACGGAAGTACTACTTCAGTCCGTGCTATAATAGAGAGAGCTACATTTATGGTGAGAAGCTCAGTCAACTCATGTGTTAGATGATTCACCTTTACACAAGTGACCGACGTCCCGAGTCAACTCACCCTCCATATTAAAGTGTTTAATAGCCCTAAACACGTAGTATTTAAGGGGCATCATGCACCTTCACTTAGCTAACTTTCAACTCGGTATAAGGTTTCTGTGTCTCCATAATTTTGAGGCTTCGACTCTCATGATGCTAGCTCTTTTCAAGATTGGCTACATCACGACGATCCTCCGAGTATTCCGAGACGTCTCTCGCAGACAAACATCCCCATCGCCAGCGTCTTGACCATCGACCTGACGTCCTAGGGTCCCGAGAACCAGTCTAACCAAGCTTATTACACGGCATCCCATCTACAGAGCCAACCAGTGGCTTATACCAAGCCTTCAGGCTATCTTATCCCTCGATAGCTTCCGAACATTCCAAGTCGTCAGAGCTGTGGCATCATTGTAAAATCATCTGACGAATTATCCTTCTGGCGTGAAAATGTCAAAGTATATCAGGAACAACTTTCGGCACCGAGCAGCACAAGTCTCTTACATAAAAGGGACCTCATCAAGGCTCCACGGTAGTCATAAAATTACAGTGACTGTAGGGACGAGAAAGGCCGCATTGCCTGCCCAGTCGAGCCAGGCGCTCAATGAGATGGATAAGAGATTGTCCTTCATGGTCCAGCAAATGTTAAAGAGCTTAGTGACCAATTCTTGGTGCATAATACGAAATCACCGGCTTCTTTGGACTCTATGATGCTCAATGCGAATAGAGATTCATTCCTTGTTATCTTGTGTAGGCCATTTAACAGCTATGGGGCTTTCAAAAACTGCCCCGCGCTATCTCTTCTAATTCGATGGTAGCTAGACTTACCAGTAATAGTGCAAAGCAAAGGAACAAGGGCCAAGTATGTTCTCCAACGGGGCTTTTTCTAGTGTAATTCACTTACGAGACAGTCAGCTGATGTATCTATATTACATACCTTTCTTCCCCACTCTCGCTGTTGCTGATTTATCTCTTTGTCATCCTCTCATCTCAAAAAGATACCCTAGCGGGTGATGGAGGCAACTCGGGAATAAGTGACCGTCCTGACTCCACCACGATCCGCTGAGCCGCAACCTTTTACGTTATAGAGACAGGGATGTTTCTTACTTGAAAGATTCACGGAGTGGGCTTATTAGACTTGGGAGTAACGTAATGAGATAGATCGTGTTTGATCGTCGAATCAGTTCTGGTCAAGTTGTATGAGGCTTTTGATAAACGAAAATCTCGATATCGAATTGTAGGTGTAAGAGTTTGACATTGGTATGAGACAGTGGCAAATTGGTCGAACCACTCAACTTGACTCATCGAATGACTGAAAATTCTCTTCTTTTGGGAATCAAGATGTCTCTAATGTACACGGTAGTTATAGCTTATCCTATTTACTTATCTCAATACATTTGACTGTCTGTAATACAGTCTTGTATATAGTTTCTCCAACTTTTCAACGTGGAGTCGCTAAACCTCCAAATCTCTCGGAGTCGATACCCTCATTATCAATACAAACCCCTTCCCCATGGAGATTTACGTAAATAACCAATTCAATATCTGGAGTAGTAACCAAACCTCCCCCCTCAGATCGTGGAGATTCAAAGGCGATTTAATGAAAATTTTGCATCCAGAGTCATGACCATGCCATGTGTGGGCCTAATAGCGTTGTTACTATGGGGCCTCTCATCTTTTTTATAATGGGGCCATTTAGCAAGAACTTTTTTCTCTCTTCTTTCTTTGATTCCTCACTCTTTTCCATCTTTTAGGTAATTCCTTGAATTTGGTCATCATGGCTGTTGAAAAGGTCGTGTCTGATTCTCCTGTCATTGGAGAAAAGAGCGTTATGGCTGATGAAAACGCTCCCACGAAAGAAAGCTTCACTGCAACGGGGGAAGAATATGAGCAGGATGATTTCATGACGAGGACGGGATTGAACGCCAAGTCGTTTACGAGGAAGCATTATGGACTTGGGCTGGTGGAGTTGGATCGTAAGATGAAGCCGAGACATCTTCAGATGGTTGCTATTGGAGGATCGATCGGTGCTGGGTTCTTTGTTGGATCTGGTTCGGCGTTGAGTAAAGGTGTAAGTGAGTCCTTCACTCAACTGAATATTGACTAATGGCTACAGGGCCCTGCTACGTTGTTTATCGACTTCTTCCTCGTTGGAGTCATGGTCTTCAATGTTGTCTACGCAATGGGTGAGCTCGCCGTCATGTATCCCATCTCCGGTGGTTTCTACACATATGCGGCTCGTTTTATCGACCCATCTTTTGGTTTCGCCATGGCGTGGAACTACACTCTTCAGTGGGCTGCTACACTTCCTCTCGAACTTACAGTCTGCGCTATTACGATTGGGTATTGGTCCCCGGACATTTCTCCCGGAGTCTGGATCGCCGTGTTTCTCGCTGCTATCACCATCCTCAATATGTTTGGCACGCTGGGATACGCTGAGGAGGAATTCTGGGCTGCGTGTTTTAAACTCACCTCGATTTCTATCTTTATGATAATCGCGCTGGTGTTGGTTTGTGGTGGGGGTCCGTCGAGTGGAAGCTATGATACGTATCAGGGCTTTAAGCTATGGCATGATCCTGGGGCTTTCAAGAATGGATTCAAGGGATTTTGCTCTGTTTTCGTAACGGCGGCGTTCTCGTTTGCTGGTTCGGAACTCGTGGGTTTGGCAGCGGCTGAGTCTCGAAATCCTACTGCTTCTGTCCCTGCGGCTATCAAGCAGGTCTTTTGGAGAATCTGTTTGTTTTACATCGTTGCTCTGCTCTTCGTTGGATTGTTGATCAGCTGCAATGATCCGAATCTTCTCAGCGCGAGTTCTTACTCCAACAGCGCAGCTTCACCATTCGTTCTTGTTGGAAAGTATTCTGGTCTCAAGGGTCTCGATCACTACATGAACGCCGTTATCCTCTCATCAGTTCTATCCCTCGGCATCGCCTCCGTGTACGGCGGATCTCGCACACTTCTGGCGCTTGCACAGCAGGGTTTTGCCCCAAAGATCTTTACCTGGGTTGATCGAGCGGGTCGACCTTTACCGTCTGTTGGATTCATCATTGCGTTTGGATGTCTTGCGTTTTTGAACCTTGATGCAGCTGGTCCTGTTATTTTCGACTGGCTTTTGGCTTTGTCGGGACTAGCTATGCTTGTTTGCTGGGGATCGATCTGTCTTGCGCATATTCGATTCAGAGCGGCGTGGAAGTATAACGGACATACACTCGACGAAATCCCATTCAAGGCTATTGGTGGCGTTTGGGGGTCATGGTTAGGCTTGATCTTTGTTGTTGTCATTCTCATTGCTCAGGTAAGCACCAAATCTTGATTCGTCGGAATAATTGCTAACATATTTCAGTTCTACGTGGCCATCGTCGCCCCTGTTGGCGAGTCGGGAATGGGTACTGTTGAAGACTTTTTTATGCAGTATCTTGGACTCCCCATTGTGCTGGCTTTCTGGGCTGGAGGATATCTCTGGAAGAGGACACGTTGGATCAGCATTGAGAAGATTGATATTGATACGGGACGACGTGAACATGATTGGGAGGCTATCAATGCTTGGAGGACAGAGCTCGCTACGTTTCCCTGGTGGAAGCGATTGAGGTATACTTTGTTCTAGTTTGGAACGGCTGATGGATATGGATATAGATATAGATATAGAGTTTATGACTATGATAATATTTGATTACAGAGATTTCCGTTTTCGCCCTATATCTGAAAGCTTATAAATATTGGAGGAATTATCCATGACCTGCAATATCCCATGCCTGGGGTCAATCGATTCCTTAGGCGTCAGCTGTCAGTTTGTCCGTTTTGCTGTGTGCACTCTCGTCACTCTGATCCGATCCCTTTGTTGGGCAGATGATGGACCACCTTGTCTCACCACGCTTATTAACTACTGACAAAAAGTGGCATTTGTTCATGAGCACAGCAAACTGCTCACAGCATCATAGTTAGTCACATTTGTGAATCAACGCCTCTAAAAGAACGATATATCTACCTAACCCGCCCACGACCTTTCCTACACTTGAACGGACTGAGATAACCTCAAGTAAACTGGTCCTTTGACTAAATCGAGCTACCACAATCTCGCCGAGTGTCGGAAGAAAGCTAGCATGGAGACCGATATGAGCAACGCAGGCCCATGGTCACAAGCTGACTTGCCCTGGGACTTTCTTATCGACACCTTTCCCTTCCTTACCAACCAAGCCTACCACGCACTATCCGTCCAGCTAGACTTCTTCCGTACCATGAGCACTATGAACTTCCCTATTCCTCAGGATGCGAACGGAAAGAAAAAGTTAACAGCAATCCTCGATAAAGCTAGTCTTGTCAACGACCTCGTGTCAAGCTTGACTCACAGCTCTGAACTTCTCATCGAGCTAAAGGAAATGGAATATGACGAGGTCATCAATGCGAGGAGAAGTGAAGTCAGCAGTATGATTGATGAGGCTAGCGATAATATTCAAAAGGTGATTGCGATACAGACGAAGGAAGTTGAGAGAGGCTTGGGGCAGCAAGGTTCAGAGGTTCAAGAACAACAGAGACGTGCAGAACAGGAGAGACTTTTCCAACGAGGGATCAGTGGAGTGCCACATGTGCAGCCCGCAGTTCTTCAGCAGAGTCACGCGCCGCAACAAAACATCTTATCAGAGCAGATTCCAGGGCTTCACCATGCGTCTGTATCACCAGCCGGACGTCAGGGATACAATCCAGTACCACTAAACAACCCAGTTCCAGTACACCCTCAGGCCCCAACACACCCTCAGCCTCCGACACATATTCAGGCTCCAGGGTATGGTCAACTTCCGACACATCCCCTCCCCCAACCAGTCCCCATACAAAGACAAGATAGCGTATACACCGAAACAAGCACCACAAGCTCTGATGACTCTGAGATTCGACGAATGCTGGCTAGAGAGCTGAAAAAGCAAAAGAAAAAAGACAGAGCGGCCAAGAGAATGGCAAAAATGAGGAGAGAACGAGATAGGGGCGACTTTTGTAAACGCTGTGGACGCTGTTGATAACAACACACCAAAACATGCGCATAATCATCGTTGTTCTGAGTACGATGTCTTGTTCTACGAGTAAACACTCTGAATAAATACCTTAATACTCAGCTCATTAGACCAGTTTGACGATTATTCTCTCAATTAAAGTCCAAATCCAACTTGGTACTCTTTTCGGTGCCTATCTTGAACGGCGTCCATCATTCTCTCGTTCTGAAGCTTACCCTATGCTATGCTCAAGCCATCAAGATCTCGTCTAGGACTATTAGAAGGGGCAAGAGAACTTGGGATCTCTTTTCGAAGTGACGAAAAGACTTAAACAAGTTTACATATCTTAGCATGTCATCAGACCTTTTCATTCCATCACCTTGATTTAGAACTAAGGGTCTTGTGGTAAATTGCCTGATAACCCTACTACAACTAGAGGCATGGCTAATGTCTTTCGGCAAAGCATCTGTGGACTCCATGTATTTTATGGCCCTCTGATCGGATAAAGCGTTCATATAGAGCTTCTAATCTAATCGACACGCTGGGCTCGTTTCCAAAATCCAGTTGTTATGCCTGGCCTATTCACCATGACTTGGTGTTGTGAGCAGTGCATCACCATATCAACTGCGACTTGGTGGATGGTTCAGGGGTTAACCGGCTAGCGAGTGTTTTCGTCACTGGACATGGAAAGGCCACAGGTTTCTTGCCTCCCCTAAGGTAGCCTAAGAAAGTACCTTACCTACTGACTTCAGCATGCGCTCCACCACCTGTAGAAGGTATGGAATCGCAACTTCCTACCATAAGGTTGCAGTGCCTTCCCTTGTGATACTTGGTTAACTACCAAGGTAAGCGCGTGATGAAAAGAATCTCCAAACCAACTTGTACACTACAAGCTTTTACTCTTCATCCATCATCATCAACATCATTCATCATTCATCAAGACTACCGTATCATATCAAAGCACCATGTGTGAGTTTAAAGACGAGATAAACGAAGATCCCAACCCCTTCAGCACCGTACCACCACCCTCAGGGCCTTCAGGACCTTCAGGATCACCGGACTCCATCATCGTCAGCTCTGCCCCTCCCACAACGCAATTTGATAAGGTTGCTCCGAGACCAACACTTGGCAATCCTCGGAAACACAAGCGTGCCACTGTGGCAGAAGAAACAGAAGAATTTGAGAATAACCCATCGGCCAAGCGTATCCAGACTGATCAAAGCCATGTTCCAACTCCTGCTGAGACGCCGTTTGATAATTCGGCTCCTGTTGAGAAGCCGCTCAGTGAGCATGAGTCGTCTCCAAGCCTCGAGTCTTGGTCCCCAGAACCGCAGCCTTCGCTTCCGCCACCGATTATACCGGATCTATTACCACAAAGGCCTTCTGAGGGGCCTGAACCCGAACCCGATCAAAGCACCCCCAGCCAAGGCAATCCCAACCAAGGCTTTCCTAGCCCCCCTTCACGGCCTTCAGAACATGTCTCGTCTGGTGTCGCCAACCTCAGACAAAATGGGAGAGACCTCCTCCGCGCCCTGGATCAATCTCAAAAGAATAACCGGAACCAGCTGATTCAGGTAGTGTTATCTGGGCTTCGAGACGAGCAAAGCTGCTCGGCTGAGGGCTTATGCTTACACCGCAGCAAACCAAAACGGGTGCCCCATGTGTCCCATGAGCGGTACTGGATAAAGATCAACTGGCCACAGGTTACCATGGGCGAACGAGCTGGCCAACCCCCACAGTTTTACCATCTCAGTTGCTAGGATGAAATGACAGACATGGAAGAACTCTTGAGAAGGAAGCTCTTCCCAAAGATAGCCGAAACCCAAAATGGAGACTTGAATAGTGTTGGGCTCATGGCGAGACAGTGGCTCTTACGCTCGGGCCTTGTCTATCCAGACAGAATGAATGAGATGCTCCACAGAATCAAGTCAACTAAGAAGAAGTCCGGGGACGATCTCGCTGAACTTTGGCGACTCGAATGTGAACGAACACAGTGGCACGTAGCGCACCACCCTTGTAAGCTTTCGGACATCATCAAGGCGGGAGATACTTATGTATGAGAAGTGATGGAGGGGGTTGGCCGTGACAGTGGGTAAATACAATCCTCAACTGCCTTCATTATAAACACAAATATACAGGGGTATTAACTATCATCACATCCGCTCCACTCCCTACTTAGAAGCCCTCGTATGCTCCTCATAAAACTCCAGCGTCAGCGCCGCCAAAAACCCAGGAATGCATCCCTTCTCCCGAACCCAGAACCCAATCAGATCATTGATCCTCCTCGCAAAGTCACTCCTCGGCCCACCGCCAACCTTCATCGTCCCGCGCTCGCCATCAAACACGATCGAGTTCTCGTGCTCGTCTGTCTGCGAGGGGTAGAACGTGCTCTCGACGCGCATCTTGCCGTTGGGGATGAACGTCACGGTCCAGCCGAGCGTGGAGAAGATGGCTTCCTTGAACTCTTGGGATTTGGAGGCCCAGACTTCTTTCAGGCGGCGCGTGCGCTTCTCGGCGGACGCGGTCTCGGCCTTGGCGGCGGTGATTTCGCGCTCCATTGCGGCGAGGACCGAGGTTGGGATCATGGGGACGGAGGAGTTGGCGTTCTTGGATTGGAGGGTTGCGAGGAGTTCTTCGTTCTCCTTCTTTAGGGCTTCGAGGGTGGAGCGCTTGATGGCTTCAAAGTCCGATGTGGGGTTGGACTTGAGTGATAGAACGCGTGTTTGTGTTTGTTGCTTGGCAGCTTTGAGTTGTTCCTTGCTGGTAGACAAGTCCTTCTCCAGCAGGGCGATCTTGTTTTGCGACTTGGTCAGTTGCTCCTCCAGCATACGCTTCTTTCGCGTGAGTTGACCGAGTTGCTCTTGAGAACTGTCATCCTCCGCTCTTGAGCGCTTGCTACCCGTCGCGGGTTGGGGTGTGCTTGGCGCTGAGGGTTCAATTGACGATAGCTCAGCGTGTAGGTTCTGGACTTCCATCTTATACTTGTCGACGAGGTCCTCCAGTTCTTGCACGCGCTGAACACGCGCTTGGTCAAATTGCTCTGGTTGAAGTGTCTCGTCCTCGGTGTCAAACGTCTTGAGCTGTGCGCGGAGGTACTCAACCTCCTTGACAGCCAGGGCACGTTGGCGCTCCAGTCGCATTCGTGCCTTGTCGGCGTTGCTGGCACTTGCCACAGTCTTTGCATTCTCGACCTCATTCTTCAGTTGAGCCTGCTCGTCGCGGAGCGATTGGATCGTGTTCTGGGCAGCAGTGATCTCGGCCTGTAGAGCACCAACCTTTTCGACATACGATGCATTTGTCAAGCGTTCCTCAACGAGAGCCCTCACTACAGCCTCTGGAGAGTCAAATTCGGACTCGTCTGTCTCGGCAGCGTTTCTAAGATACGCCGACCAGGCCAAGCGCTCATCCTCTAATCGCTGTCGTTGTATACGCGCCTCAGCAAGCTCTGCTTCAACCAATTCCGCCGACTCCAACTTCCGCTGTAGTGTTCGCTTCTCCTCTTCGACAACTTCAACTGCCTTGCTCAACGCTCGTAGGTGTTTAAGTTCGGAGAGCTGGTCACGGTTCGTGGCCTCGAGGTTTCGAATATGTTGAACTTGTTCGGTAAGTTCGTGTCGGATAATCTCCATCGTCTCTGCATCTCCGCTTTGCGCTTTTAGCCGTAGAACATCGGCCTCGAGATTCGCGATGACTCCATCCTTCTCTGCCAATTGAGCTTGGGTCTGCTGCAGCACATTCTCCCGCTGCTCGCTCTCCTGCTCAAATTCTTGGATGGTCTTTTGCGCCGCGGCAATCTGCATCTCCATGTCTGTGGCTTTTCGGTCGGCAATTCGGGCAGCATCGTCCTTGGCTGTGGATAGATCCTCAAGCTGTTCCTGCAGCAAGCGGGCCTCATCCTCTGCTTCACGAACCTTGCGCTCTAGTTGTTTCTTATCCCCATCGATAGAGTCTTTAACTTCTTGTAGCTCTCTTTGAAGGGCTTCTGTCTGGGCGACTGCCTTCTCGCGTTCAGCCTCAGCGGCTTGTCGGTGGCTCGCTTCATCCTGCTCCCGCCGTCGAGCTTGTTCCAACTTGCTACTTTGTTCTGACGCTGTAATCTCCTGCTCTTGCTCAGAAGTCTGGATTCTATATTGTAGAGTTCCAATCTCAGCTTTCAATGACTCAATCTCTCGCCTATACTTCTCGTACTCGTCCGCATCGGGGGGCGCCATGTTCTCCTTATGACTTTCGCGCGAACCGGGGCGGACAGACTCAGCGACGTGGCTTTGGCGAGATTGAGGTCGAGGAATATATGATTCGCCTGTTATTATATTGTATGACGGTGTTGTGCTCGCGCGGAAAGAGGAAATCTGAGCCAGGGCTTGGGGTCAGAAACATGTGCTCAAGCTTGGGAATGTTTGTTTTGTTTTGTGTTGACTTACCCTGGACTGTCGTAGAGATGTCTGAGGTCTGTCTATAGCAGACGTACTCGCTCGGAATCTGGCGTTCACTGAGCCTCGTCTGCTCCCGCACCCATCTTTTTCGTTGGGCGTAAAGGAGCGCATTTTCCGAGTTTTGTGGGCTGCGTTGCTTGAATGAATGAAAGATCGCGGTCTGGAGGTGGTTTGTTTGCGATCACCACGGGAGCTTGCGTCGTCACGTGACCCACCTGGTCCTTGCGTTCAAAGATGGGCTTCAAGATGATGTCAAGGAGAAGTGGCATAGAGTATGTTCTTTGTTTCAAAGGAGTTGTGAAAAGGCTTGGAAGGAAGACGAATCTAATATTCTTATTTGTGTAGAGTTGCTCTTATGCTGAGAGAGCGTTTGGGTTAAACATTTGCCCAAGACGTTTTGGCTCGTGTGTAGGGTATCCTAGAAGAAGCTGTGTCAAGCTCCACGAAGCTTCTTGAACTTTGGAGGCGTATAACGGCAGGCTAATTTAGCATTGAGGATGGTGGTGTTAGTCTCTGTCACACGATTGATAGCATGTTGAGCAAATTCTATTGTTGTAACTATTAGGGTCCGTCGATAATGGTCCCATCGTCGTTATACCTCGTCTAAGGTACCTATTATAAGTTACCAACATTTCCCTATCGCAGTACAATAGCTCTTTGAGTTTACACAAACCAACAGTCCAATCCCTAACCAAAGCCAGGCCAGACGCTCCCTGAGCCCCTGAGAAACTCTCCAATCGCTCCCCCATAATGACGCATCCTTGCAAACCATCCTCTCTCCAAGCCTGCCAAGTCGATATCATCCCAGTGACGTCTTCCGTACCTGATAAAGATGGACCCCTGTCCCCGTCCCTAGAGCGCATCCTAATTGGCCATCCCACATCCCTCATGACCCACTTCTCTTTCTTTTCCCTTGTGTCAAGCTTCAGGACCCGACGATCACCGAAGTCGAGTTGCGATCCATCCGCTTACAAAACTGAGCTCCACTGACGTCGATTCTCGAATGACGACGGTTTTATCCGTTCCGTTTTGCTTGCGCTTCTTTATAGCTCTTCTTTTTCTTGTGTGAATGGGACCGAAGCTTCCGCGGCAGCTGACGACCTCGGTATCAAGAGCTTCAGCTGTAACATCGTCTCTTACAACCTCTTATGTTTTGAACGTTTAACTCAACCTTTTGCATCACCTGTTGAGAACTCTGGTCTTCAGCAATGGCCTCAATTGGCCTCCGGGTAAGCTCTATACCCCCTACCTCTTCGTTGTCCTCTAACATCTCTAGTCCTCTGTGACCACCCGCGCCATATCCTTCCGATCCTCCCATCTACGATTAATCCCCCCAACACAATACCTACGATACTACTCCAACTCACCAAAACCCTCCAGCTCAAGCTCGAGTTCGAGTTCAAGCTCCAACGAGTCCATCGCAAGCAGCGCATCCTCAGCGCCAAGCAGTAAACTCAATGTCTTCAGCAGTGAATGGGAAGACCTCGACACATCCATCAAGTCCTTCGCCGACCTACCACATCGACTCTTCGGCGCGAACCAACACATGATCATCAACTACGAGCTCAAGGAAGCTTTGCGCCTTATGCTGCGGCAGTTCAACGCACCGATAATGTACTGCTTTGCCTACGGCTCTGGTGTGTTTCCTCAGAGTCCTTCCAAGGCGAGTATTTCGGAAGCAGACTTTCGCGCTGTGCATCCGAACCCACCGGAGGCGTTGATCAAGTCGCAGAAGGGATCGCCCAAGGTGCTGGACTTTATCTTTGGTGTGTCGCATGTTGAGCATTGGCATTCGATAAACATGAAGCAACATCGGAACCATTACTCGGGACTGGCTTCGCTTGGATCGGGCGTGGTATCGCGCGTGCAGAATTGGGGTGCTGGTGTCTACTTCAACCCATACGTCGAGGTCAACGGGATGCTCATCAAGTACGGCGTCACAAGTATCGATAACCTCGTTCGCGACCTTTCTTCATGGGATAGTTTATACCTCGCCGGTCGTCTTCAAAAACCCGTCAAGATTCTCCGCGACCATCCTCGCGTCCGACTCGCCAACCAACATAACCTTATCGCCGCAGTCCGAACAGCCCTTCTCCTCCTCCCACCACAGTTCACCGAAGCTGAACTCTACAGCACCATCGCTGGTCTAAGCTATCTAGGCGATCCACGAATGGCCCTCCCAACAGAGAACAAGAGCAAAGTCACAAACATCGTGGACAACAACATCATTCACTTCCGTCGTCTCTACGCCCCTCTCGTCAAGACCCTTCCCAACGTGGACTTTACAGGCGCTTGTCGCATCGACGACACAGACTGGATCATGAATC